AACAACCACAGGGTGGTGTTGCATAGTGGTGGGGTAATAGATAAAATACTGGGTTAGGTCTTGAGTGATTCAGATTCAGATTCTCATCGACACTCACGCGCAGAAGCTCACCAGGTAACTTTTTTTTTTTTTTGGTTTGTTATGGGAAAAAATTGCAGGAGAGAATATTACATATAGCCTGAGTCCTGGAGAAAAGATGGGACATAAATTTATGAAACAATGTTCCAAGGAAAGGATCTGTCATTCATCATAAACTAATAACCAGTGATACTGGAATTATGTAACTGGGTCAGAGAAGAGAAGCACTTGGTATACCTTAATACATGATTAAAGAGGTGATGGGAGATTATTTTAGGCATTGCTGAATTGCCAAAAAACAGCTGATAATCACTTCTGGGTCTTCCATAGCTGCTCATTGAAGGGTGGGGAATTCTCAAGGAGCTTCAAGGAATGTCATCAAATAATAATTTAAACTGAAAGAAAAGCATATGAGAATAAGGAAGAAACTGTGATACATGATAGTAGAACCTGGTGTGAGTAGGAGGAAGCCTTTGCCAAAATGAGTTTTCAGATTGCATGCAACATTATTGTTGATGGTTCTCTTGCTAATACATAATACTAGTAATGTTTTCAGAATTATTCTCTACGTCATTATAGATGAGGTACAAAAGTCAGAATGCAAAATTCTGTTCAGAGACACAGAAGGGGCTTGTGTTCACTTTGTGCAATTCTTGATGTTTTACTTTTGGAGAGCAATTTCCAAAGCATGTTTTTAACCCTCTCCCATCTTTTTAGGGGATAATTTAGCATGTTTATTTTGCAAACAATTGCTGCCCCTGCCAAGGAATCTAGGTAGAATTCAGCTAGAGGCTAGAATGTAGCCTCAGCTACATAGTAAAAGCATGATAGTAACCTTGTATTCTCTGAATTAGCTTACAATTTTACATAGAAAAGGATGCCTGTATTTATCTGAGCTTTTCAAATGTACCCCAGTCTAGATGTTACCACTTTTAACCTCAACTGTAGGGGATAAAGGCTTTCTTTTTAAACGAGATGAAATAGAGGGAATCCTGGGCAAGAAGCAGTCTTAAATACATTACAGTTTTCCTTGTTCCAAAACATATCCTTATGCTCCTAAAGGGCTCTGTGACCCTCAGCTTCACCTGTTGTGAATATAGAACACAAGCTTATTGTAGCCTGTAAGCTGTTTCTTTTACAAAACTTGTGCAACTGTTTTGGGAGCTGCTCCTGGTTTTCTCTGCAGGAGTGTACATTCATAGCCACAACTTCTGTGGGAAACTTCAGAGCATTTTGGATAATCCTTCTGAACAATGGCTTTCAATAAATAGTTTCCATATCAACTTTGACTATTAGGGTGGCTACAGAGTAGAAAGGATTCTGAGGCATATATAGTTCAAATTCTTTTAAGAGAAGTTTGTCTGCCTGCCGTTACTATTTTTTTGTATTCTGTTAATAAATTCCTGGCAGATTTGCAATGAATCTCAGAATTTCATGTAACATAATTAAAAATCTTAGACCTCTGCCATTTTCTATGAATGATAAAAGTGGGTTTGCTGGAATGAAATGAAAACATGTACACATCAAATATACAGGTCCATCTTCAGGTGGTTGGGGAAGCCATGAATATCATTATCAAAAATCATAAGGTATAAAAAATACATATATTTGAGTGTTAAACCCTCCTCTGTTTTCAGGCTCTATAAGCTTTCAATCATCTAGAAGAGCAAGAACTATTATTTAGAACTTGGGGAGTGTAAATTTAATACAGGTGCTCCTTGGGTTATGATGGCAATTGGGACTGGAATTTCCGTTGCTAAGCAATGCAGTCATAAAGTATGATGTTATGTGACCGCATCGCTTAGTGGTGGCTGTTTCATTTGCTGTCATAACCCCAGGACTGCACAGGTCATTAAATGTGGACCTAACGTGACTGTGACCTGGAACAGGTGGGACTCATAGGCAAGCAGGCTGGTGGGTGAGAGCTGCGGGTGAGAGCTATGGGCAGGAGGGGGTTGCCATGGGCAGGTGCTAGGAAACATGGGTGGGGGAGTGGGTGCCACAGGAAGGCACAGGGGGATGGGGGCAGGTGCTGCTGCCCCATTGGGAAGGGAAGAGGCTGGGGTCACTGCGGGCCGGGGTGACTCTCCCACTGGACAGCAAGGCAGAGACTTTTCAGTGGTGCCTGGATTCCTGGTGGCTACTCGGTCAAGGGCTTCCTATGCAGCAAGGAGGCCATAGGGGGATGCAGCAGTGGAGTTCAGAAGTGCCCTGCACAGCATGGCCAACAGAGCCTCTGTGCCATAGGGCTTGAGGCCAGCTAGTGGAAGTGAGCCCAGTGGAGGGAAGTAGGTGAAGAAGACAAAGGTCAGTTGGGGCGGCAGGGGGGTGGTCGTAAATTTGGGCTGGCTCGAATTTTGATCATGTTGACTGCAGGGGTGCTGCAATGGCTGGAACTGTGAGGACTGGTCATAAGTCCATTTTTTTCAGCACTGTTGTAAACTTTGAACGGCTGCTGAATGAATTTACAAAGGCTTGACCAGTCTATATTCAGGTTAACTAAAATGTTTACATGTATTTTAGTGGTTAAGTAACTTGTGGAACAAAGAACAGTATTTTTAAAAATTGACAGAATGTATTGATCAAATAGGATTGTCTTTTAAGATGGCTTGCTTAGCATCAGATATGGTGGAGGGGGAATTGCTTCCAGGATTTATATGCTGCTAATTGCAAACAATGACACAGGAAGAAGCCATTGCCTGTCCTGCAGATAATTATGTCTGCTATATGCAGTGTTTAAAATTCTGGCTAAATTTTGTGTTGTATAGAGCATGTAGCAGTTTAAAAGCGTAATTGGCTCAAAAACAAGCTATAATTGGCAATTGTTTATCAATTGTATACAGTAACCCCTATGATTTTACATATATTTATTATGATGCAGTTAACACTTGTACCAAAGAGCAGCATTCATAATGAAAAGAAAAAATGATTGTGATTAGATTTAACTTAAAAATGCCACTCATTTCTAATTAGTTAATAATCCATTGGGTCGCTTAAAATTTCATTTCATTCAATTGCATTTACATACATGAATCAGTGTTAATTGAATGTTTCCGCTAAGCTATTTAAAAAATTCAGCTTTGTATCAATTTTCAAGAGACTGTATAGTGCTCTTAAATAAGGTGTGATTTCCAAAGCTTTATGTTCTTTGTTCCTATTGTCAGGGGAAAAGCCTCATTAAACACGGGAGACAGACACACCAGAACATAGGCCACTTCAAAGTTCTAAAAGCTTTATTAAATGTTAGTTCAATAAGCAAGTAAAATTTAACCAACAGCATACAAGGTACTTACTTAGATTCACATTGCAATGAGGACCAGCACGAGCAAGCGGTCAGGTAAGACAGCTTGGCCGAGTGGCCCTGACCCCCTTGTTGCAGTCCTTTTTATCCTCTAAAACCGCAAACCACAAACATGACTCCCAGGATCTGCAACTGAATCATAACGTCCTTGGTGCTAATTTTACCACACTTCCCTATTCCATTTTTCCTGTCACACTCCTTCTATCAGCACTTTACTTTGTCCATCTATTTTCCGGCTTCCTGTCCATGACTGAAAACTTTAGTCCACATAGCAATTTTATTTATTGCTCTGTAGTTTTATGTATTTATTTTATTTATTGCTCTTTTTCCCCTCACACTATGTTGAATTATTGCCTTAAACTAGAAGCAGATTAAATTTAAACTGAAGCAATTATTTGGAAATAATTAAACAGATTTAAGAAATTGCTTTATGTCTCTTCTACCATACAAAGAAACTTATTAAACATCTTACTATAAAGAGAAAATTCACAAAAGTGTTTTATGTGCAATAAGCTAAAAAAACTTTCAGAGATTCACCAGCACTGTCCCATTTGTAGCTCTGACCATCTTATTGCTATAGCACTGTGAAAGAGTTTGAGATACAGTGTTATATATTAGGGTTTTGTTTTTTGTTTTGTTTTATTTTGGGTTTGTTTTTTTGCATGATAAAGTCATAATCCACTTTGAGAAAGCTTAGGAGAAGTTAATCACAATTGTTATGAACTGGGGGAGATGGGCAGCATATGACTTTAATAAATAAATAAATAAAAGGATGCTGCTTGACAGAGAAACTAATTGGGAGGATTAATCAGGATTTGTAAGAGGCATTGGAGAGTGAAAACTGAAATGGTGGGCAGAAAATGCAGACTGCTTAGAAGAGACAAGAGATGAAGAACCTTTCATGGCTCAGGATGTGGTTCTCGCCAAGATCACCTTCTCACAATTGTTTCTGCCCATCCAATAAGATTAAGCAGAAGAGTTCCCTTCAAGTCCCTTCTTTCAAGGAATTTCATCATCAAGGTCTTCTCAGTTATTGTCTCTCTTCTTTGGAGCAGCTGAGATCTGTATTATTTTAATCCTGCTGGGTTTTAGGAAGCTGTTTTTTTCAGCAAGCCTTAAGGGTAGATGTGCTATGAATTATTCCTTGTTATAGTATGGTGTTTATTTTCAACTGTGTTTATTGGTGTAAAATTGTGATTCAGATTGTTGGTTTATCAACATTTATGTATAATTCTTAATTGTGAAAATAGGGGATGTAGGCATTTAAAGTTGGTAATGATTGGAATGGCATGTAAATTAGTAAGTAAGTAAAGGAAATAGAAAAGGGAGTGGGCTATCATTACATGGATTCTTTATTAGAAACAGGCTAGGGCTATATGGAAGTTTGTTCGTTGTGGATTAGAAAGTTAACCAAGGAAGTAAAAGCAAGAAAAATTTAAATTTCTCATATTGATTAATTAATATAATCACTTTTAAATTATCATATTGACTAGATTGTTATAAACTTGGTTTTTATGGTTTATATAAGTCATTATTTATATGTCCCTATGTTTCATATTGGGCAAACTGGGAAATTCTCATATAATTGTTTGTCCTAGGACTGCACTGGGTTAAAACAAATGCTGTGAAGAGAACATTAAATTGGTTAAGATGGTATCTTAATGTTCTTCAGCTTTACTAGTACATCAGAAGGCTAGGATGGAACGACTTCAACGAGAACTTGAGATTCAAAAGAAAAAGCTGGATAAACTAAAAACAGAAGTCAATGAAATGGAGAATAATCTAACACGAAGGCGGCTGAAAAGATCAAATTCTGCTTCCCAAATTCCTTCAGTAAGTCATCATTTCTGGAGATACAGAATAATCCAGTATTACCATAAAATTAATATAAATCAAGTCAAAAGAGCACTTGTGTAATTATACAAAAGAGAACCTGCAGAATACTTGGTAAGCAAGTACAAATTGGGAAGTATGGCAATATTCTTAAACTGTATTCAGAAAAAGTCAGTCACACAGAACACTTTTTCAGTTATTTGTTCTTAAGATGTCTTATCTCTGGTATTGTGAAGCCTGTTCTTGATCTAACTATTCCTAGGTAATATGTCTTTTATCTAAAAAAGTTAGAGCATATTCCCATTGCTTTATACTTTCCTAGAGCTTTCATTTATGGAAAGCTAAAACTTATTATCTAAGCTTATGATTACGTGATCTCTATAGTCAGTAATTTGATTTCCAAACATTTAATTGGTTTTCAGCATACCTGAGAGGTTGTCTGAAGGGCTTAAAAATATTAAAGTCATTACGTAATTCTAATTATGCCATTGTCAACCAATGACTATGTCTTGTTATCATAGCCATGAAACTAATAATTCTGTGTTTTTCAGCTTGAAGAAATGCAACAGTTAAGAAGTTGTAACAGACAGCTTCAAATAGACATAGATTGCCTTACCAAAGAGATTGATCTTTTTCAAGCAAGAGGTATTGTATTAGTAGTATGAACAGTCTTTTACCTTTTAGCTTGTAGGGTTTGAGGACTACAGAATAGGGCTGTGCATGCTTTGAAAATTATTCAGAAGTGCATTGGCCTTCAAGAGAGCACCGCACTTTACTCTTTGTATCAAAGTAGCCAACTTTATTCAGGCTTCTACTGAAAAAAAAAAGTGCTGCTGCTTGCTCTAAGAGTTACATTAATGAGTGGCTTCCTTAGAGTAGTGACGCCCTTTTTTAAGGCTTGTGCAAAAACTGGGAAAAAAAATAGTATTACTGTACAGTAATGAATAGTAGAGAGGTGCCGCAGTTGTGCAAAGTCCAAAGTACTTCTTCTGAATCATTTTAAAAAAATGTGCACAGCCTTACTCTCAAGTAAGCACTATAGAGGCTTAAGTGGTACATTTGATGTCATTAAGAGTATCTTTTAATAAAAATAAAATGCTTAGCTATGTAGTTACAAGTTACCTTTTATTTCCTGTTGTTTGGGGTTCTTTTTTTAGTAAAAATGTAAAATCACATTTGAGTAGGAAAGAAAATAAACTTAGAGAAACATAATAAAAAACAGTTACTAATATGTGGGCATATTCTATTGTGCACAGAGATGTAATTCAGGACCTGTACTTAGATGCAATGCTGGGATTTAGTATAGCCTTCATCTTGAAGCACCCTCAGAATTTGGGATGGAGGAGAAAGAGGGTATATGTTCTAAAAATTTTCTTTGTGCTAAAAATCAGAGAGTAAATTCAGAATCGTGCCAGAGTCAAAGTTAAACTGGTCTTTTCACTATCAGAATAATGTATGGGATACAAGTTGGAGAGACTTTGTATTTTCTTTGCTTTATAATCATACATATATTCCTGGAGAAAGTGTGTCAAAGATTTGCATTTATCAAGTCTGTATATCACCCAAGGAATTCCTCTTTTGGGTGTATTAAAAGTGCAGTAAAGTAAATGCAAATTAATACATTTTAGCAACTGGAATACAAATGAACAGAACTTAGCATTACTATATTTTAAGTTTTTCATGCTTATTTAAAATACCAAAAATCAGTATATTTCTTATTTAAATTCAAATGAAATAATGTACAGGCTATGAATTCAGGATGGTGCTACCAAATGTGATGTCTGTATTTTTAATTCTCAGTTCTAGATTTGTTCTGTTCTTATTAGAGATTCTACAGCACTACAGGAGAATCCCAGGGAAAAAATAATAATTTAGGCCATTTTATTTATGAACAAATTTTTATACTTCTTTAGTGAAAACTCTTAAAGTCTCCTGAGCTCACCTTGATACCTTTCTCCCCCTTCCCCTTTATATCATAATGTGGATGCTAGGGATGAGCCCATACATGAATATACAAAGCTGGTGGATCTTATTAGATGGTCTCAGAATTTTTTTTTTTAAAACAAAGGAAAGCTATGCAGTGTTACCAGTAATACCTTGACCATAAATTTCCCAATGCTTCAGTTTTAATTGCCTTTTGTGTACTAGCTCTTTCTTTTATTATGATGTATGTTTCTTTTTTTCAGGACCACATTTTAATCCCAGTGCCATCCATAATTTTTATGACAATATTGGATTTCTAGGTCCTGTGCCACCAAAACCCAAAGGTAGTGCTAGTAATTCTTTTTTCTTTTCAAATCATCTCTGGAATCAAACCATATCATTTAACCTATTTTACTGTAATATGTTAGTAAAATTTGTAATATGTCATATGTTGTCCATAAAGCTGTTGGAAGTCTGTAGCGTACAAATAATAAATCATCACATTCATTTGCTGCAAATATTCTTGTTCATTTGTTCTCTCTTTTTCTTGTATCATTCCATTTTTGAAGACAGGAACTGTACATTTACACATGCTAGGACATTTGATTTCTCCTCAATTTTAAATATAAGAACTGAGAAATTATCTTGGGATGTGCGCACACACTCTTTTTCCCCCAAAGACTCTATTTCTTCAGTGGTAATCCATTCACGGCTCTGGGTTCTCTTTCTGATCTCTGTCTTTCTCAGCAGACTGAAAATAAGGGACAGATAGATCTTAACAGAAGACTCAACTCTCTTGCAGAGGCATTGCCCTTCCCCAATTTCTCTAAATCAGGGGTACACCGGCATTTCTTTTGCACCCCTCCCTGGGGGTGGGAGCCTTTTGTTTTGTTTTGTATTTTTTCTGAGTTTGGGGTGTAAAGTCTTAAAGCACCTGTTTTAGTCCTTTTAAAACCACCTCTTCGAAAACCGATTCTTCAGCATACTGCACAGTCTCATATGGATTTGAAGCTAGAAGAGCAGGGAGACAAGTACCCAAAGGCAAGAAAAGAAACAGGGAAAGAAAACACCCCAAGTGCCAGCAAATTGTATAGAAGCCCAGCACGTTTCAAACAAGATCCTTTGTCAAGGGCCCCACATGCTCTTTTTTTAATGGATCTCAACAGAACTTGAATAGTTCTCACCCAGATTGTAGTATATGCAGTGATTTATTTGCTCTTGAGCAATTATGAGTTGGACTATTAAAAACACAATATTTGAAAATTGCAACATGTAAACAATGTTGCTTATATGATTGGGGAAAGGGGTACATAATTTATTTTCTTCAGCTATTCATATTTGACCACTGTGTTTTTTTTCCACCTCAGCTGATCAAAGATCCGTGGTCAAAACACCAAAGACTGTTCCTGATACTGAAGAAGATGAGGGAGCTCAATGGAATTGTACAGCTTGTACTTTTTTAAATCACCCAGCCTTAAATCGTTGTGAACAGTGTGAGATGCCTAGGCATTTCTGAGCCAGGGAGGCTCACTTATCTTCTGTAAATCCAACTTCTGACTATTGTGTCATTTCCTTGGGATAAATAATCATTTATGCATAGGATTTTGTAAAATTGAACATGTGACAGGATTTATTAGTAATGTTAAATGTCATGATACAGAGATAATACCTCAGTCTTGTGCTGCAGGCAGCTGGAAATTCATCGGCTGGAAGGTTATCTCCTGAAAGACTTGGTTGCCAGCTGCCTGATATGTACAGTATTACCAGATACCCATAAGAATAACTCTCACCAGGTTCAATGCTTTGGTGTTCCCAATCGCCTTTCTCCACAGATGTCACTACTGAATTTTGACAGGGGAAGGAATTAGATTGATAGCTTTTTTGTTTTTGTAAAGCTTTCAGTAAAACACTACATTCACAGAGGAAATGAAAAGGAACAAATTGAAACTGTATTTGCTGCCACAGAGGGCCCAGGAATTATAGAAGAACTTCAGAAATGTAGAGGTACTCTTCATCTTGTCTTCCGGAAAGCAGTTCCACTCTGTGAAGACAAAAATCAGTACAATCATCTGAAGATGAAAAAGAAAACTGCATGCTTTGTCTGTACAATATTCACCGTGAAATATCCCCAAGGCTTTTCCTACTGTACATAGTTCTAGAATCTGCTTTAAATGACTTTTCTTCACCTTTTATTATTTCTTGTATTTCTTAATGTATAGTGTAATAGTCTTTGTTAACTTTCTTTCTCCCTTTAAGTGATTATGCACGATTGTGATCCCTTTGCGTTTAAAGTTTTTGATCTGAGAGAAGCAGTGCCTTAAAAGAGCGCTAATGACAATGCACAAACTAGCTCTTGTCTGCCTCTTCTGTATGTTGCTCTTGTAAATGCTGGTAATCTGTGAAGACCTGCAGATGCAGCAGGGTGAAAATGCAGGAAAAGTTGGAGTTCACGCTTCTAGTTCACTCGGGACACTGATTTTTACGGTGGGTGACACCTGGTAATATATTGCCCGACAAAAACAGAGGAGAGAATTAGTCCCACCCCCCAGCATATCAGCATCTGATAGGCTTTGCTGGGTACCTTTCAGACTCTTCAGAAATAAAAATCCTGGGGGGGGGGGGAAGGTGCATAATGAGTACACCGAATAGCAGCAATAGCAGAAAACATCAACAAGTTCATTGTTGGCAGCCAGTTCTTAAACCTGATTTGGTGGAGAATAGCAATAATTAGAATAATTTGAAAGAGAGCCTGGAAAAGAGAAAGCAAGCAGACTTGAAGCAATACCAAGCATCTCTTTTTTTCATGGACATCTTTGTTTCTGAGGAAATCTGTTCAGGGGATTAGGAAAACATTTAATTGAAACCAAGATCATGGTTTTATTTTTTATTTTAATTTTGCTCTCTTGCATACTACATAAATGATATGTCATCTCTTGGGATGAGGTGGGAAGAAGTGATAAACAGAAAAATTGTATACGTATCTGTTCAGAATTAAGCGCCATTGAGTTCAGTGAGACTTACTCCAAGGTAAGTGGATATACGATTGCAGCCTAAATGTAGCAAGAGACAAAGTAGACTGTCACCCACTGTAAATATTTGCCAGTGGACATCTTTAACAGGAATTTTACAAATGATCTATGTGAATATACAGACGCCTTTGTTTTAAAGGCTTTGCATTTTTTTAAACATGGGAATTAAATTAGTATCCTAAGTAATAAGTCAGTAAATCCAAAGTACTTGCATTGAATGCATTATGTTTATTAAAAAAAAGAAGCTTTGTTTTTCAGCTTCATCTGCAGTTCTATGTGAAGATTGACAAATGAATTTTTACCTGTTTTATTAATAAAACCTAATTTGGATATCTTGAGTTGATGGTTTTGTGATTTAGGTGGGTTAACTGTCTTTGTAACAGATAAGTTATTTATAAAAATTAAAAAATATATTGTAACATCTGTTTTGTGTCTTTTTAACTAGGAAGTATGTTTTGCTTTAGATGTAAGTTAAATAATTGTTTAGTGCTAGGATATGTGATGATTCTGATTTCAGCATCATACCCTAAGGGCTCTTTCCTTAGGTCTAAATCTTTAGCATGACAGCAAATCTAATGTTTGTTCAGGTGTTATTACAGGTACTTTTTAAGGAGATAGTCTGCTTGGTATCTGATATTGGCAGTTACTAAGGTGTAATGTGTGTGCTTGCTTCTGGCACAATATTTAATATACATTTTTATCTGTTGTATATTAATTTGGAAATGACAAATGAGCCACTCCCTTTGATTATTAAATCCTCACAGGAATCAGCATTGCCTGAGATGATGACAAATATTATAAAGAGTTAAAGAATGAAATTTCAAAACAAGCACTTCCATCATAGGGAGTATAAGAGCACATGGACTCAGAAAGCCAATAATAGTATCTCACATATTTCTACTATTTATGCAATGGAAGTTACTTTCCAATATTAGGTAAGTTGCTGTTAATCCTAATAGAAATCTTTACTGTGTTCCTGCAAAAATCCCCCATGCCTGTTTTTTTAATATACTGGTTGTTAGGGAAGGGGAATTAATTATTTGCTTTCTTTTGGAATATTATCAATTTGTGAAGCATTCTGTAATTCTCATTGCTTTTCATGATATCCTCATGACTTCAAGTTGAAACACCATTTATAGTATAGGAGAAATGCTTTATTGGCATTGGCATTACATCTTAAGTTATACATATTTCAGTTATTACTTTAGGACTTACAAAAAAAAATTAACATGAGTTGGCTTCTTAAACAGTGAAAACTTTTGTACTTCCCTTTCTACCTGCATCTCCCAACACTCTTCAGATCTGCCCCAGACAGTCTTGTGGCAGAAGAAAGAATTCGATAAGCCATCAGTGTGTTTGCTGACATAAATGCACAGTTGGATATCACCCACAGTTATTGGAATATCTTGGAGCACCAGAGCTTTAGACCTTTGGAATTGTAAACTTTAAAATAGTCTGTTGATTGTGATACTATATCATGGAAGTTGAGTTGGAGTGGGTCATTGTTTTCTACCATCGTGTTTCTGGGTGTGCTGCTCTTTCTGTTCTTTAAAATTAAAATTCTATTACATGTCTATGGGAGATATCTCTACAGGACCCATTTGTCTTGCAGCCACCACTAAACCATATTCTGGTTTAGACATTTTACCCCTCCTTTATTTCTTTAGATCTCTGAGGCAAGATGACTGGCTGGAACGTAAGAAAGGTACAGGGCAGCAGACCCTTGGTTAACATTTAAATAGAATTGAATGGACGTGAAGTAACTTTAAATAGTTGAAGTCAGTCAATACTTGCCTCCCTGGCACAAAATGTATTTCCAATCCTGTCTCCTTAACAGATGGAGGTCTTCCCAGGCTAGACTCTTAGCTTCTCTCAGACCTGTGCTTCCACTATACCTCCCAAATCCATCTCTTCCAGTTCCTTCCTCTTTTTCCTGGAATATAAATCAGGAGGAGGTACCCTGTGTTACCACAGTCATACCAACAGTTTACAGTATTTTGACAAAGATTAAGCAAAAAGTAAAAAAGGGAAAACAAACTTAAAAATTAGAAGCGGGTCTTTTTTAAGAATTGGGGTAAAGTTTGAACTCAGAAGAGTCAGAAAAGATTGAAGGCTGCTGGTTTAACATGAAACCCTGCCTTAAAATAAGTTTTGCTCAGAGCATTCTAGCAAATTTCCATCTGAGCATAATTCTGGAAATCAAAAAAGAAATCTCCATTGTTTTATAAGTATAATTCAGATATTTTAATGAATTTAAAATAATTTGTTTTATTTGTCCTTTTTATTTTTTTCAGCCAAATGGAATGATGGAAAGAACTATGTAAAAGGGTTGGGACACCATCTGTCTGCCTCTACATCAGTAGGATAATCCTCTGAAAATAGAATAAAATGGGACCAAATTTGGTGTGGTGAAAGAAGCCCACAAAAGAAAGACTGAGTTAAAAAAAATGGGCTGTGGCAAGAGAAAACCCAAAAAAGATTTCCCTAGTGTATCCTTAGGGGGAGAGTGTTGGGCAGTGGCTCAGAGTCCTTCCAGCTGCTTTATGAGTTTGTGCCTCTTATCAGATACAGTGGTACCTCGGTTCACAAACTTAATTCGTTCCATGACACTGGTTGCGACCCAAATTGGTTGCGACCCGAATCAAATTTCTCCATAAGGTTCAATGTAAATACGGTTAATCCGTTCTGACCCCTCCGAATTTGGTCGCCAA